CTCTCTCTCTCTCTCTCTCTCTCCGTCTTTCGCTTCTTTCTTCTCAACACTTCCAAAACTATAGATTTCCTTTTCCTGCAACATCGATTTACTTAGCCTATTTTCGCTTAGTTCATCGAAGTATCGGTCGAGTAGAATTGATCTTTGATTATGCGATTCTTTAGAAGAATAGCGGGGCTTCTGGGGTTTGTCAGAGACGATGGTCACGAAGTGAAAGACCAAGAGAACGACCATCACAACAGTAATAACAACAACAATAATCAACCGCCCAGCAACCGTCCGCTTTTCCAAGAAACTGGCCTTCCACGAAGGGGATTTAGCGTCCCTGTTCAGGTCGCCATCGATCGTCCCCAGCCTGGCCCTCTGCTCCTCCCCTGCACTTCCGGTGACGGCGGCGTCCAGGTCCATCTCAAATTCTTTCATTTTCTTTATTGGTGTTTTTCTTTCTAAGATGTGGGTTTTTGATGTATTGTTTTAATGGTAAATGTAGTTACGAGTTGACTTCTGGGTAATAAAATTAGGAAGCTTTAAGGTGATTTTATGCATAAGCGATTAATTATTGCTAATCCTTTTTGGCATGGTTAAAGAAGAAAGCAATTTCCGAACCAATTAGTTGGGAATTAAGACAAGATAGCACGAATAACTAAACATATGTAAGAAAGAAGTGACTTTGAATTGCTTAATTTGGTTTTAAAGAGCCTGAGGTTTACTGGGTTTTAAAGATTTACTATAATCATTTTCCTCAGTAAATTGGGTATCCGGAATCTTTGATGTCTTTGAACATCAGACCGATGTTTTAGAGGGCATTATCAGGCAAGATCATGTTCTTCCTGTACAATTACAACAATGTGCTGAATTTGAAGTGGCCTGCATACATGTTTTGTTGCCATTGCTTCCTTTCCGCTAATGCTGCACCTGTTAGATTCGTAGTATTTATGCGATGAACAAAATGCTATCACTGCTTAATCTTAAAACCTAAATCATGTTTTAGTTACATTGTGTAGACCCCACTTTCTTATAATGGCCTGGTCTGAAGTTCATTGATGATGTTACTGCCTTGAATAGAAAACGTCTGCTTCTGTTGGTTAAAATTTCCACTGCTGGTCTTGCAAGTAGTCTATAAAATTTTGAGCTCCCTGGTAGTTTTCTGCCCTAGTTCCTTTGTCCATTTCCGGTGTTATGTGTGTTATGTGTATATTATTTCTTTTTTGAAGTGAATTTTGTAAAGATGCCAGAACTTTTGTTAAAGTTGCTTATTCTAATATTTGTAAGTTTGTGGAAGTCATTCATCGAGGATTGATGGACATGCTATTTTGTTTTTTCCTATTGTCTTTATTGACTGATAATTTCATCAGAAAGTGTACCAAAGTTAATGATTGTATATGATGTTATCTGCAATCTGTGGCATGGACTTGCTGCTGGAACTTTTAGTTAAATCTACTGTCAATGAAATCAAGTGACATGCATGATTGCTGTTGTAAATTATGATGGAATTGAGTTTTAACTGTTAATATAAAGTAAGTAGCAAGAATAATAGTCCTTCTAGGAGGCTATTCTGAGTCAATTATCAAAATTCCTTCACATTATTATTTCTGATGTTCATGGAAAATATGCAGTGAGGAAAAGAATGCTAGGATAGGTTAGATCCAGATGTAATTGATGCTCATTTCAGGAAGATGCATTCCAATGCATGTTAAATTTAGGTTTAATTTATGCATTGCATGTAAATTATTACTTCTTTTTAACTTAAGTTTCTACTATCAATCTTTTAATTTTATCCTTTTTCTTCCTTCTTTTTTTCAGTTAATTAAGGCATAGAGGAAAAGATCTATTCTTGCCCTTCTTTTTTTGAACTGTGCTTAATCTTTCTCCCTCAAATTCCTGTCCTAACATCAGTGGTAGTGGTTCCACCAAATATTACTGTAGCCTGTTTGTTATTTGTCTTGATTTCCTGAAGTTTTAAAATCTTTTTGTTATCAAGTCTGGAAAAGTCTTTTATCTTGAGGTAACTGAATCTACCAAGGCAAAGAAGTCAGTAGCTTTAGTTTTTCTGGAACAGCCTCCCTCCCTATCTCTCTCTCTCTACATAAATCTAACAAGGGTATTTAGTTTCATTTTATGATTGAAGGTGTCAGATTAGTGGTATTTAGTTTCATTTTATGATTTAAGGACTTTGTTGCTTCTGATTGTTTTTGTCTAACCCTTTCACTTTTATGAGTAATCTTCTTATGAAGAAAAAGATATATTATGTACAATTAGTAGTAGTGTTACAAAGCTAACACTACCAGCTTGGAAAACACAAGCAATTGACGATAGATATGAAATCTTAGTCATTCAAACTACAATTTACTGGGCATGACAATAGTTTCATGTTTACATTTACCATTGTTCTCTTTGTCAAATAAATGTCCATGTTGAAGATGCAGTAGCCATTATTGGCATCTTGGTGTTTTACACTAGCTGATAGTTGTATCTCCTACTGTTCGTTTCATTCGTTGGCATGGTCTGAGTTCTTAGCATTACTTTCATCAGTAATCATTTTCTTTCCCTTTTTTTGGTTGTCTCAACCTGCTACGCTACTTCTTTTACATCATGTACCTTCATCAAGCCTGTTTCAAGTAGCTAACACTTTTGTATGGACTTTTCAATTTAGGGTCTGAAATGGTATGCAAAGCGTCTTAGGATGGATGAAGATGGAGATGTAGCAGATGAGTTCCTTGACGAAGTCTTGCCAGAAACATCAAGCGCAGCTAGTGCGGAAAATGAGCAGAAGCCATTCCCAAAGTTCAAAGTGAAGTACACTACGAGACCAGCTAAGGTGAAGACCCAGGTCTTGTCCCATGATGGGAAAATCCAGCAGTGCGTGGAGTACCAAGGAAGACTGCAGTGGGTATGATTGTTGGCATATTTCATTTGTTTGGTCTAATATAGCAAAAAAGCGTGTTACCAATTTAATTCTTTTGAATAGATTTAGATTTTCTCTTTCTTTCTTCTAACTTCTGTATTAATGGTAATAACCTGCATTCACTGTATCAGTATGATGTACAAAAGGCGTTTTTTTTTTTGTTGTGGTTTCTAAGAAGATTTTGGTTCAGAATTTTCAGATTTGGCTGTTCCATCAATGAAGTCATTTTGTATAAGTGGTATGTTGAATGATCTTAATATAGATTTTCTCATGTTTGCCTTTCTTGCATCTTTGATGTTCCTTTAAGTTGGTTGATAAGAGGATTTGTAGAGATTGTCAAATTGTCTGTTTGTCTCTGCATGGATGCGGTTACTCTTGGGCTATAGGCAAAATGAAAAGATAAAGAGGAGTGCTTTGAATTACTATTTCAGCATGGACAAGAACAATCTTAAATAAAAAACACACATTCTTATTACTGCAAACAAAACTAAAAAGAGTAAAGCACACAGGTGGCAAAACCCTCCGTTTTGTGTATAAACTGTCCCATGACAAACCTTATTAACCCATCTTATGGCCATGAGGGGGGGGTTTGTTGCCCTGCAAGAGGATACGTAGGAACATTAGTTCCAGGCACTGGAGCTGCTGTCCCGACAGTCTGGTGTCCATGAGTGCCTGCGACTGGTGGCTCATGGTCGTAGCCATAGCCATGGAGATATTGCGGTAGTTTAGCCCTCAATCTCTCCTCTGCGTGCCTGACCTTATCCTGATGCAACTCCATCTCTGCTCGAGCTTCCTTGGCTTTCTTACGCTCATTAGCCAACCTCTTCTCTCCTTCTGTCCTAGCCGCAGCTTCCTCCGTCTGCTACATTCACCCTTATACTTGTAAACCCATTTTCTTCAACTCCGATATGCATACAAGCAAAAGAAGCAAAAAGAAACTTGAAAGGAAGAAAGAAAGAGAGAAAGAAAGAAGTTTAGCTTTGCCGATGTTCATGTGCTCCTTGGCGCTACCGGCCATGTTGCTAATCTTCTCCTTCACTGACTGCATCTTTCTCAGCTGCTAAACTGTGTAATGATTCCAAAGCAGTCCTCTGTTTTCCTTCACCGATTACAATTGGAACAAAAGGATCTGCATCAACCTTGTATAGTTTTATTACGTCAATATTTCTTTTAATAAAATATGTTATTAATTGCCAAAATTCGGGAGAGTTGCCACGTTTAATGCAATAGCCACACGTCATCCATGCAATGCAGATCATGTCCTCGATTTGCTGCCACGTCGGACAATCTATCGAGCCACCTTCGTACAATCCATGTCTTTTTGTTAAGTTGTAATAAAAAAAAGTAAAACAAATAATAACACACGGCCTTCACATTGCTCTTGCTCTTGTTAATTTTAATGCTACTATTCAACTTAAAAATAATCATAATAAATACAAATATTTTTATTATATTTAAAATTTTCAGATATTTTTATAAACATTTTATCATCATTTCAAATTTTTAATATAAACAACTAATCTATCACATTGGATAAATCACAAAAAAATTTCAAAAATTGATAAAAATAAAAAATATTATCTTATTTTATATTTTAGATTATCAAAATTATTTTTTATTTTTTAAGTAAAATAATTGGATATGCAAAAGAAAAAATATTTCCAATAATCTGAGTCTTCAAATTCAAAAGCGAAAATGAAACTAAATACTTTCTTTTTATAAAAAGAATTCATAAATAAACGAAATTAGCTTTTTATCAATGACCTTTTATTAGTGGTTTCTTCCTTTTGTCTATGTAAAATTTGTTTATAAGAAACAAAAACAAATGAAATTGTTTCGCCTACCAAAATATAAAACCCAATGGACTTGTTAAAATCAAATCGGACGGTGAAAAGTTCTACAAAACATTCCGTACAAACATGAGTAGGATATAAAACCTCTTGCCCTTTATTGTTTTATCCCCTCCAGACCAGTAACTGATTAGATTCTAAAACCGGGATCAATGGACCTTGTGGTTCCCTGCAATTCCTGCACTTCACTCTACCGGCAACCGCCTCTTCACCGGCGACTCTCTTCTCCAAAACGCTGCAGTTTTCCCTTCAATTCCTTGAAATGCCGACGCAGAACAACGTCAGAGCTTCAGACGCCGGTGAGCATTACCAGCCCAGACGGTAACCTTTCTCCTCCAATTCCCACTCATAAAGTCACTGTCCACGACAGAAAACAAGGTGTCGTTCACGAATTTCTTGTTCCAGAGGTACGACTTCCTCTCTGTTCGTTTCCCGATAAAATGCAGAAGATTGACCTATTTTCTGGTTAGAACAATTAATTGCCAATAGTTTAAAAAGTTTTTCGGGCGCGCACATTTTAACTTATTATGCTTACAGTTGATGCTTTAGCTAGCAAAACTTGTTAAATGATTGATTAGACTGAGGTAGGGCATATTTGATTACAATTGCAGGACCAATACATATTACATACGGCTGAATCCCAAAACATTACGCTTCCATTCGCTTGCAGGCACGGTATTGTTCTTTCAAATTTGCAGAAGTTATGTTTTGAAATGTCGCGAACATGTCACATTTCTTGATGATTTGAGTTTTTGGTCATCATTAAGATACTGCAATCGAGTTTATTATTTGGACACTAAGGCTATTTAATTCTTTTGAATGGTAATCTTTGCTTATTGGATGGGATAGGTTTTGATGAATAGTTCCTTTACATGGCAGGTTGCTGTACTAGCTGTGCCGTACGTGTAAAGTCTGGACAAATAAGACAGCCTGAAGCTCTTGGGATATCCACTGAATTGAAAGCAAAGGCATGGATCCATTTGCTTGTTTTGCTTATTATTTGGCATTTGAGTTTCGACTCAAACATTAAGCTCCTATCTCATTGTGTTCTCATCATCTAGTTATCAATTTGACCAAAATATTTGACCATATTATAGGTTTCTATATGAAGTCAGAGCAACTTTAAGAATTCTAGTAATTTAACAAATAGGATAGGAATCAGATAAATAAATAAATGTTGTATAAATGCACTAGGAATGTGAGCATAAATGGAAGAAGATTCATAAGACAGGTTTGATTGTGACTGTATTGTAACGACTCAAGTACAACTATTGGCCCAGTTGCTTTTTGGGCCTAAACCATGTAACCCTCAAAAGTTTAAGCTCAAGTTACCAGTAGTAGTAGACTTGGATTATTATATAGGTCTTAACAATCACATTCACATCAAATGTGGGATGTTGGGTATCACAGTCATGTAGTCCTTGTTTAAATTAAATTAATCAAATGAGTATCTTTGCCCATTTTGGAAGACATGTAACCTTTCTTCGAATTGATGTTGTTAAATTTTTGTTGACAATTTCTGGATGTTATAACTGAATGCATACCAACATATAAATGTTCAGTTGAGGCTTTAATCTTCCTAGTTAGATGTTGAGGTACTTGATCCCTCTTAACAAAAGTTATTTATGTCCTGGTTAACATGTTTCATTTTTAGTTTCTTATTCATCTTGCCAACCAACAATTATGCATCCTAAATGTACCAAATAAAGAGAAAACATCATTACCCTTACTAGCATACATTATCTTAACTGCATGTTCATAAATGTATTGTTCTACCTCATCTAAAACTTCATTCATGACCATTCTATTACCTTACACTATGTTTAATAGGATGGAAAAAAAGTGAGGAAAGAAAAATATGAAGGAGAGAAAGGGCAGTAGTTTATCCTTCTTTGTAATTTGTGTAAAGGACGGAAAATAGAGGGAGAGAAAGATACCAAAGGTAAAATTGCAAATAAAATGATTATCTTCAGTAGAAAGAATGTTTTCCTCCCAATTTGGAAGGATTAGATTTTGAGGGAAGGGAAAGGTGAAAATCCATCCATTTTCCTTCCCCCCTCCGATTTCCCTTCTACCAAATGAAGGAAGAGAAGGGAAGAAACACTATCTTCCTTCCACTACCTTTCCTCCTTTTTACGTCCTATCAAACATAGTGTTAATGTTCGGAGTGAATTGACAATTGATTCTCTTTGTTTCTTATACTTAAATGCAGGGATATGCACTTCTATGTGTTGGTTTTCCATCTTCTGATCTTGAAGTGGAAACACAGGATGAGGATGAGGTAATGTGAAAAATGGCAACAATCCATTATGAATAACAACTGCTCATTGGATGTTTTTTTCTTTTTTCGAAAAGTGATTTTTATTGATCTCCTCACCAATTTGCCATTTCGAGTCTCAAGCTTGACTGCAAAAGACTCTTCATCGCGTAAGAGAGTTGGTGAGGTTGAGGACTTTGTACATTTTCCAACATTTGTCTGCTACTCAAGAGTAGTGGTAGCATTACAAGAACCCAAAGAAACTATCTAAACTACACAAAACAGAGCATTTTTGGTCAATAAAAGGAAAAAGCAGCCTATACAAAAGCATCGCTGCCATAAAACAGAAAGATAACAAGAAGAAACAACCCAAGAAGCCATCAAGAAGGCAGAAAGCACCAAAGAACCCATGTAGGAAAATCAGGCCACAAGCAGAGAAGCCAGCAACTGAAAAATCGAAACTGCATGCAACAACCAAACCAGAGATGATCAACGAAAAAGAACGATGCTGATTGCTGCATACACTAAGCAGTGCTTGTAACTATTATTGCTTTATGCAGTTTATTAATGAAATCCATATTTTGGCTGAGCGCAAAAAAAAAAAAAAAGGAAAGTGCCTTGAATGTTGATTGTGGCATTTGAATGCATCTCCATCTGCATTGCATTATTTGATTTGTAAAAAATAAAAGCAGTGCCAACTATATGGGTCAAAATCTGAAATTACTGGCATGTGCAGGTGTATTGGCTTCAATTTGGACGTTATTTTGCTCGAGGACCAATTGTAAGCTCCGAGCACTAGAACTTCTTGTTACACAGTAATATGCAACTCGTAGTAGTAAAGGAAAAGGATATTGTTAAAATTGAGAAGTTTATCCCAGACAGGAAATAGAAATGAGCTGATGCACAGTTATTTTTCTCTTTCAGGATGTTTTAATATCTAAAACTGTTTAGCTTTTGAAGTTATCTTAGAAGTGTATGTTTTGAACTTTGGCAGGAAAGGGATGACTATGCATTGGAGCTAGCCATGGGTGATGAGTAAGCCACTTAGATTTGCTAAGTGGAAGTGAGCATAACCATGTAAAGCCTGCTGCGGATTCTGTAGTTTCCCATTTTATAGAACTGTGATCATACTCAGTTACATAAATTTACTTTTTCAATGTATACTTCACTGTGCCAATCCAGCATTTTCAGCAGTTCTGTTGCCATACTTCAGTTCCAGTTAAGTATATCTCTGTTTTATTCCATACAAGATTATTATCTGCATATAGGGGGTGTTTCTACACATGCACATACCCTTTGAAATGATTATTGGTCGAATCACGACCTAGCCAGCATCTTCCGAGTGAGCTTCAGCATGAGTAAATAGAAGGGGTGATGAAACTTTTCTGAATAAACCAGGAGTGAGATAATGCCAGAATGTCCAAATGCATGCTGAAGTTTTTGAATTGAAGAGATTCCAATCACTGGGACTCCGATGGAACACAAGGAAGGTAAACCCTCCGTTTTCCCCTCGGAAGCAGCCCCATTGTAAGGTTAATCTTTTAATATCAAGGATTGAATCGCCATACATTAGGAAAATTGCTGAATAAAAATCCCTGAATTGCAAATTCCACCCGCAAAGCACATATTCTCTACAACTGTAACTTTCAAGAGGTAGAGGAAAACAATCCTGTACCGAGGAAAAGAGGTTTCGAAAGGAAAGTTTAGACATTTCGGGGTTTCCACCCGCTTCCTTGGACTCATATCGTAGGTTACAAATTGATAGTGTCATGCTAGAGAGTTAGCCTGACATGATCCGGCTTAGTAGGTAGCAGAGATTTACTGTTACATAGAGTAAAATCCAGTCTCTACTATCCTCTTATTCGGAGCTGATATGTCATGTTATGGTGGAGTACTGTCCCTGCTTCAAAGTTTGTTGTCTCCGAGTTCGTACCTGGTTCTACTTTGCCTCACCCAGCTGCCACCATAAAGCTTGAAGGTCCTTCGTATATATGCTACTTTAGTCTGCAAATTACTTACTCCTGCATGCATTTTCTGTGAGTATAAATCTCATCTTAAAAGTTGAGTCTCTCTTTTGAGTTGGTCTGTGACTGTGATGGTATTGTTAGAACACAAGATAGCAAAAAGATACAAAGAACAATGCAATGATTCCAAGTGCATTTTAACCTTAAACCCTAAAATTCTAAAAATAAATCTAATTTACAATTTAATTAATTATATGAATCAAGTGTCGAATGTCAAGTATTATCTTAAATCTTAAAAAATAAAAATAAATATAGAAGCACATGTCCGATTTAGATCAGTTTGGCAAAACATGTGAGAGGACTAAAATTCAAACAAAAGGTGGTTAGTGTCCCACCCTTATTATATATGGAAGTTTTTGCAGAAAAGATTTCGTCAATTATACTCTTATTCCCGAAGCTTTTCTATGCCTGGGACTGACTTTATTACATGTAGCACACTCGATAGGCCACAGAAAGAGTTAAATTCATGCGTATGTTGGCTTTAGTTCCCGATCACTTTCTGGCTCCTGCTGTATATATTTGTCCATGTGTACGAGGAGATAGAATTCATAAAGAACCACCTGATATAGAAGTTTGCGTTATGTGCTTTCTGACCATACATCATTGGAGAGATTCATTTTGATTTTGAGGCGACGGCCAACTGATGGAAATCAACAGGAATGAGAGGAGTTGCCTCAAACGATAGGATGCGACGTCGGGTGAACTTGGATAGATATCTTAGGTTGAGGATCCTATCCTTCTGTACCAGAAACGGAACAGACCCAGACAGTGAGTGAAGTGAAGTATTGAAACGGAATACGTTGACGCTACACAAACAGTTACTTTCAGTTATTGTCTACAGGGGCGACTTGTCTCAAGGCGTAACCCTTGTTTCACATCAAGCGTCAGCCTTTTCAGAGTGCAAACAGTTCACTTTCTGGTAAGCTAGCGCCAATTATCTTACGAGCAGGAAAGTTTAGGTTATTGAACCCTCGTTTTTGAGGCCCCACATAAGGAAATATAGGCTTATGTAGACCTCACCACTGGCATTGGTCTCAAGGCATCATTTCTTGGTACAAAGATGTGGTCCGTAGACCCAAAATTTAGGCGCTTTGCTTCCTGCAGATAACATACGCTTTGGCCACAGATGGTGTGGTCTCAACTTTATTTGTCAGAGAATATACCCCCTGGATATTATAGTTTAATGAATAACATCCGAAAATGACATCAGATTAGCGCAAGAAACTTATCAGGGTGTTCTGAGAACTTACAAATTGGCATGGCAAAAGCAGCAAAATTCATTAGATCAGCAAATCGTTTTTAGATATATGTAATGTCTGCTAGAATTAAACAATATTACGAAGGAATTCATCATAATCTCTCAAAATAAAGATTACCAGACAAGAAGAATTAAAGGAGTTTTTCAGTGTTCGGGTCCAGTAGATTGTATTTTGTGCTCACCGACAGCTTAAGGTCGACTAGGCAAGTCTAGACCAAATGCTAGAACTATTTTTGATAGTCTGCACTGGAAATCCGATTTTCATTAAAGAATCTAGTGTTTGATGTATAATATGACCAATCATCCTGATTAGAGGACTGAAAAGAACTGATTAGAGAGGCTGATTTCGGCTCATCCTGCTTCTCCTTAGAATTCTTTCATCTTTAACTTTCACTGAAGTTGTACAGAATCTAGATTTTTCGTATAACCTCAGAAAAACCAACATTTTTCTTGTAGACTTTTCTCTAAAGGCAAACACCTACATAGTTGGTAGTTTAGAATAGCTTGCACAATTCTCTCTCGGCAGCAAATGTTTTCCTGTTTCTTCTAGATGAATGAAATTTCAATTATTCAAGAAAAGAACAAATTATTGGACACAGAAGAGGTCCACCTGGCTACTCATTTACGGAGGACTATCACCACTCTATTGAAAAGATGTGTTTGTTGGGGGTCGGAGGACTAGACGTGGACAATGCCAGGGGGAAGGGGGGAGTTGAATCCTTGATCCTGAGACTGTTGGATGGGTAACAACCTAGACCATGCTGAGTTAAATATGGTTGAAACTTGAAAGAATCCAGGATCATTTTAAGCAGTTGAGATATAACTTAGTATCGGTTTGATAACAATGAGTCTGACTCTGATTTCATCTCACAATTGTAATATTCAAATAATGGGTTCTGATACCTCCTTTCCTTTGAGTTAAACAGGCTGAATCAAGCAATTTCTGGAAAATTCCTCAACTTGTTCTTCTCTTTTTAACCTTTCGAAAAGTTTTACCAGATTATAACCAGGCCTATCCGTCTTTTCATCTAGAGATTCTTTATGAACTGGATGGTTTGAACTCTTGAGAGGTTATTAGTTGATGTCATCACACATCATCTACCATGTAATCAACTAGATTCCCTGGAAATCTGCACCTCAGCATTTGCTACGAAAAATCTATTTGGTCCCCTATGTAAGTTTCTTGGGTCGACATATGTGGTATCCTGAGTGACTCTGAAACAATGGTTTGAACTTAGACTATTGACAATTAGGAAGCAGAAAAAAGTATCAGAAATTAACTTTGCGCCGTGTATTTAATGCCACTCATAAGGCAAAGTAAAAGAAAACCAAGTTTATCTTATTGGAGGATAACTCAGAGTCTTTCTGATGGAAACACTTATCATACATCCAACCAGCTGCCAAAACTGCTTATTCATAAATACGTCACGCAGGGAAAAATAACTCTATACATTTGAGGAGGGGATTTCCTCTATTTCGCTGAGAGTGCAACCGTGAGGATATTGTAATGTTGCAAAACCGAAGTTGTCGCTTCTACGTAATCAACTTGGGTGCAAAAATAAAATCTTTAGTTGTTGAACTTCTGTTCAGTGGCACTTGCTGAGGCCTGCATCATTCAATGGCACAACAGTGAACCACATTGCAAAGCAGATGAAAACAAAAATAGTAATAAGACCATCTCTTAAAGAGGAAGGAAACAGTTTTTGCAATGTGCGTAAGACACTGAAACATGGGTTGTTAACTAGCTAAAACTATTGCAATGCAGCAGATGTTTCAATGGTTTTTCAGTTTTCCTGTGGCTCTCTTCTAGGTGTTCTTGGTGACCTACATAATGGTTGTAAATCCAATTTTCAAATTGATAAAAAAGGACATACTACGAATTAGCTCTGCATAATCATCAAGTTGAGAACAGGCCAAACGGTAAGAAAAACAAGAATATTCAGGGGATAGAAAAAAGAATGTACACACACACAAATCAGACCAACCAACACACTTCTTAATCTTATAGGAGCTATCTTATCTGCTTCCTTGTACTTCATTAACTGCTGCATTGGTTTCAGTGTGCAGCATATTTATGAAATTAGAGCAAAAACCTTGCAAGCAAATTTTTTCATTGCACTTGGCTTTCATTTTTATTTTTCCATTCATTTTCCACAGTGATGGTATCCTACGTAGGTTTGCAAAACGAACAAAATTGAACTCTGTATTCTCTGAATTTGTACATGGAGGCTGCTAAGAAGTGGATGAGTCCTAAGGTTATTAAACAGTTATTGAGTGAGAGAAAAAATATATTATACTGACCCCAACTGATGTCACAAAATTGCAAACTGCACATTTTACAGATCGTGCTCCATACTGGTACATTAGTAGCATCCTGCAGTTCCCACAATTTACATGTGCCACCTGATTTGCTGTCAGAAGTGAACGAACATTTGAAGCTTAGACGGAAAAGTAGTAACTTAATTTACGAGGTTTTCAATCTTAATTATGGTTGAGAAAAGCTTTTGTTGAAGTTATGAAACATCATAAGTTTATTAAGTTAAAAAGGAACCACATCATGCATACCTTCCAATGCCAGATTGACGGTGTGACAGCATGAACATTGAACACTTGTGGCCCCTCGGATGTACATTAATAAGGTATGGCAGCCTCCACAAACCAACTGGGCCATTTCTGTGCCTGTTTGGAGTTTTGACTTACAATTTAGGCATAGCCCTTCCCCAGTTTTTTTCATTTAACAAAGATTGAAACAAACTTAAAACAGAAGGAAGATTCAGACGATGTGATGTTTCAGGGTTACATGATAAGATTAAAAAGTTATGAAATAAATAGTACTATAAATAGCAGATGATGTACCAGGAGGCGGCACAGCTGTTACTGCATTGCAAACAGCACAACACACAGAGTTTGCTCCAACTGGATAGAGTAATAGGTTTCTACATCCAGAGCACACAAGCTGGCTCTGAGCACCTGATGACATAGATTTTGGCCACTAGATCAGTGAAAATAGAAAGATGGAACCACAGTAACTTTTGCTGGTGCAGAAAGTTAGATTCACAGCATATCCTGTCTTTGACCAGTTTGTTGATGAGGCCAAGCCTGTTAGAATCCAACCTAGAGTTTGAAACTAGACTTCTAATGTTGGTATTTACGTCCCTAGCCTGCTGTCTTAATGCACAAGCCATGTCCTTGCAACACAAATATCAGAAAAAGAAAGGGAGACGGGGGTAAAAAAGAATGAAGCAGACACTATGAACTCTTATTTGTTCTAGATTTGATATTCCTAATTTTTATCAAAACGAAGTATATACTGCTTGGATTCATTTTTGCTTTCTCTTTTCCTGTATGTAGTTACAGTGAGACTTAACTCTTCTGTGCAGGATAGAAAGGATAATGAAAAAAATATATATAATCTGACTGCATTTGTACTATCACTTGGCAGTTGCAGCAGACCAAAGTTTCTTAAGAAGGCCCTTCCCTTTGTCTCAGCAACAAAACAGTAAATAGAATTCACATTTTTCAAGATAAATCTGTTTGCAGAACAGAATAAGATACCATTGGCAGGAGGAGTGTATGGCGCTGGAGGTGTTGGATATGGAGCAAGAGGAACTGGCATTGTAAAATCAGACAGAGGTAAACTTTCCTTTCCTGGATCCTAACACTTCACTACCTCAAAAACAGAGAGCACCGATGTTTCTCCCATTCTAACCATGTCGACAAGAAGAAAACAAAATAACAACACTTAGAAACAGCATAAATATAGCAACTTTGATGAATTCAGAAAGTGCTAAGAGTGAAAAACAGAATGGACTTTAATTAAATTCATACCAGTAAACTGCTAGAGAGAAGGGAAATGATGGGGAAAGGAGTGTAAAAGAGTTGCATAACTAACAAGATACTTAATTCCCAATTTGGAAACCTTTTTATAGAATTATACAAGATGGTGTAAATGGATATATGAAAAAGAAGAAGAAGAAGCTTGAGGACACTTACAAACAATGAAACTGAAGTGGGGCAAAACACATACCTGTTCAGTTTGCAGTCTGCAGATGAAGTGGAGAGAGAGAGAGAGAGAGAGAGAGGATTAAGTTAAGAACGGACAAAGATAGAGAGAAAGCTGTTGTTAAGAAAAGATTATCTTGGTTACTATGTTCCTTATCAGGTTCATCTTAGAGAGCAAATGTCAACTGAAAGCTTTCATTTTCACCTTATCAAAGGAGAGAAAAAAAAAAAGAAATATCTTTCATTTTCTTATTTTGGTGAAATTACGAAGCTGTTGTAAAAGGGGATCTTTATTGTTTTCCTTTTGAGTTCAGTTTGGTGAAGAAAAAATGCTATTGTAATATGAACTTTCACTTTGTCCTTATCTTACTCGTTTTAATCCCGCATGTACATGTACCGGTAGTAGTAATTGATTGGCTTGGTCATGGTCATAGGTGGTTTGGTTAACGCCCTTTGCTCTTGGTGGCACATCATGATCAACTTTGGGGCAGACACTCCGGGCCCCACACCCCCTCTCGATGTTGCTTTGCTTTTTTTTGTGTAAAACATTGGCTGCACGTGAGCGTTGCAATCAGCCACACGCTCCTTTCCCATGGGAGAGATGGAGGGCTCACCAGCCAGCCACATCACACAGCAAAAGGCAATCAGGACCGTCTGTCAAATTAGTATGATATTGGCAAAACCCGGAACCTTTTGGTGGTGGTCCTGTTCCCCGTGCTCTGTTACGGCCGAGCCTTGGAGAGTGACTGTGACAGAACCGTGCGATTTGGTGTGTGTGCATTTTCTTTCTTCATGTTCAGCTACATGCAATTACTTCCCTCTCCAGACGTTGGCTGGTTTTTGGTCGGATTCATCTATTTGTGGACCTCTGATCAAGACCTAAACCCTGCGTCAGAACCATCTCTTCTAAATCTCTGCGATGCCCTTTTTTGGTAGCTTTGTACATGGATGCAGTTAGATATGCGCTAAGTCAAATCATCATCATCATTATCATCAAAAACATACATGACAAAAGGAAAAGAGATTGGCACAAGTCGTGAAAACGAGGCAATACAATCCCTAACATCTCAGCCATGTGTACCGGAAACAGAAAGCCACAATCCTGCTGATACATCATCCTCTGGGTGTTTAGGAAGTTTAAGGCTACACTTGGGCTCTACTCTCTACTGCTACATCCTTCATTATTTTGTTCTTACATTGCATTTGCATCTCCTGTTACTGTTTTGGAGCGCCAATAGACCATCTGAAGGCTACTCTTAAACCAGCTTCCGCAAGCTCATTTTTGCTAGATGTCCACTTCCTATAGCTTTTAAGGTTGTGGTTTAAAGCCTGCTAATCATCTAAACCGGCTCAACGACTCAAGTACTCATGGCTGTAAGTTCATTTTCTTCTTTTTTGTAGAGCCCATAATGTTTCCTTGCTACAAAGGGAAATGGAAATCTGGGGTAGAGCCTTTTTGTTCAACGGCATGAGATTAGCTGATTTTGATACTATTTTTAAGAATTCTTGACTGCAGGTAAAGAATTATGATATTTCAATTTGTATGTGACGTAGTTGTAATTATTAAGATTTGTAAAAAAAATTAAATTAATTATTATTAATAATTTAAGTTTTTAAATATCTCATAATTTAATTTTAAAAAATTATTAAATCAATAATACTTGAATTCGGATCATTATAAAAATGATGTATGAACAATCATTGTATCGAAGACAAAAAAATAACTGAATAAATGAAAATTATATAAATATATATATATATTTATGTGGCTAGGAAAATATACAAATAAAAATTGTTGACGAAGACTAGAAGAGATCAGTCAGGGAGGGACCAAAAGAGTTAATTGTTGAAGAAGAGGCCATGAAGCGTGGGCAGGAGTTTTGCAAGAGCCTGATAACAGGTCCATTGATAAGCATGCAAACAACAAGGGGACCGCTCTGTTTCTACTTTGGTGGCTTTTCTCCGCATTCTAAACTGGATATTCTTGCGCCCCCCCCCCCATCTCTCTCTCTTTTTTTTCTCCTATTCTAAAAAAATCTACCAATAACCCTTACAAATAAATTTTTTAAAAAAAATAACTTTTTTTTATAATTTTAATTATTTTTAATCAAGTTAAATAAAATTATTATACATTGTGTTACAAAAATATATTATTGTTACATACTATATATAAAAATATATTATATGTCATGTTAAAAAATATTATTATTATACATTATGTATAAAAACATGTTATATGTCATTATTAAAAATATATATATTATTATTATATACTACGTATAAAAACATGTTATACGTCATATTAAAAAAATATTATTATTATACATCATATATAAAAATATGTTATACACCATGATTAAAAAAAATTGTTACATGTCATGTTGAAAAAAAAAATTATTGTTATACGTTATATACAAAAATATGTTACATGTCATGTTGAAAAAAATATTATTATTACTTATCATGTTCAAAAAAATTTTGTTATATTTTAATATCTAAAATGTTATTGTTACTTACATATCAAAACTTTAAATCTTCTCAACTCTTTTTATTTTTATTTTTTATAATTCGACACCGATTAAAGTGTTTCTAATATGTTTTCATAAATCAAAACATAAATATTTTATCTAAAATACCTATTTCAATTAAAAATTTTAAAAATTCTCTTTAAAACTCTATGTTTATAAATTTTAAAATTTTGAATTTATTAATATCTAAGTACCGAATTAATCAAATTTAAAACTATTTTAAACATTATTTTACCATTTTAGTTTCATCCAAAATATATAAAAATCAATTTCTCCAAATAATCACTTACCTCAAGCATATCAAAATCATCGCTTGGTATCTTGAAAGTATAGGAGAGAAAAATTGAGAACAACAAACGAATGTCGAAAAAAAAATTGATAAAATTACAAAAAATCAAATAATGAGAGAAAAAAATTGAAAATATAAATAAAAAGAAATTGTAATAAATTATTTACTTTATTTAAAATAATCTTAAAAATATTTTTAATTAAATTATAATTAAAAATAATTAAATTTATTTTAATAATTTTTAAAAAAATACTCTTATCAATCAATAAGAATCATTCCTCTTAATTTCTTCTAATTTAAACTTTGAAACTAACCAGCTAGCCAGCCTAAGACATTGGGTTTGTTTCGTTTGTGTCAAACCCAACTCTAAGACAATTAAGTGATCAGTAAGTGTCAAAAAATGAAAAGTAGTAATTTTTCCACGGGTAAGATATTTTTCATTAATGAAGAATAGTAACCGTGGGGGCACCCGGAGGAGCACGAAGCTAGCTCTGAGTAGAGGGGCCTCCCTACCGACAATGGACAGCTTAACAGCCTTTAAGGCTTCTGTCAAGGCAGCACGGGTTTAGCACCAAGCAAAAAGTTGCTCGGAGATTTGAAATTTCATTGCTTGAATTTTGGTTTTCGTACCTCTTGTCCAAGAGAGTGACTTGACTTTTTCACTGTGTCCAGTGTACAAGGCAATGCCGAGAGATAATACTAAGAGGGTAGTACCCTGGAGAATCCCCCTGCCTTTCTGAGAAAAACGTGATTGATTTGATGGCCGTAGCCGTGAATTCATACAGCATACCACAATTTGGTCCCCCTTTTTTCTACTTCTTCTTCTCTTCTTTTGATAGTCACATGAAATATTCACTTCAAAGTTGACATGGTAACTTCAAGACTCTGCGTGGGGTTTGGTTCCATATCAGACTGAGATGACAAACTAAACTTCTCCCCTGTTGATCAGCTTTTTCCTGTACATATCCAATCATTGACTGAACCAAAATGAGAATTGTGGAGCCAAATGCACCTGCTAACGCATCAGCACGCCTGCCTCGTTAGAAATTACTGTATGAATTATTTCAACCCAGTGCCTTCCGTGCAAGCTTCATTAAATGGATTGAATTGAATCCTTGGACAGCTTATCTCCTGGCCCTGAATGGGTAAGCTGTCCTGATCATGATTAATCAACCAAATGATCGTGCTAAACTGTTATAATTTCATATTTTCTTCCATCTTGCCAATTTCAGTACCCTTTTTTTTTTTACCGCTGGAGCCAATGGAAACTTCTGCGAGCGTCAGCAGGGCGTCACTTACACGACAAACAATTTCAATGAAGTAGTACAATCTTATCTTAGAAAATTATGGAGGAACTTTTGATTTGCTTGTAACGACAGGACAGGAAAGGTCAAGATCAAAGGGGGGTTTTTGTAATAAATAATTAGACCCCGTTTCTTGGTTTAAGCAAATGGGTTTCGACATCCAAATCTAAAACTGTTAAGGATTAAGGACTAATCCCAATTTATGGCACTCATCTCAGCCACAGACCTTCCTGATGGAAGAGATAAGGTCCGCGCCCTATGGATGAAAACATGGAATGCTTTCTTGTTGGATCCTTTTTGCTAATTTTTTTTTTTTGGCTGACTGAAAACAACCCTAAAACATGACATGCAGAGGCAATATAAGTTTCTCTTAAAAGAGATAAAATGTCTTTTTAGACAAGGAACAGAAAATAAAACCCCCTTTGTCCAAATTTATAGCCCCCACAACATCAGATGCCGACATTTCAACCCATGGCCTGGCCTGGCCTGGCCTACCCTGTATCTCTAACTCCGTTCCAAGGGTTCAGCTATTCGATTTTCAACCACATTTCTGAGGATTTTTTCATGCAAGGAAGGAAGTTTTTTAATTTTTGGAGGGGAGCGGGGGAGGGGGGAGGGACATGCTACGGATAAAATCAAACCTTTGTCAAAGAATCAGAACAAGGTCAAATTTCAGGCACCGACACCTGAATCTGGACTACCATTAAAGAGAGACTGTTATTAATATGACTGCTTGGAAATGCATTTGACCTGTTTTCTTAAGGCAAAATGTGGGACCTCATATGCTCAAACTGCATTAAACTTCGAAACTGCAATATTGTCTCTGGCAAACACCATTGATGGATTATATTGCAAGAAAATAACAATGCCGTCTTTAAAAGTCTGTCACACATTCCACCATCTCTATGATACCATTGAGGTTAAATTTCCAAAATTATCAAGCAAACTGAATTGCCTGACTTTTCCAATGTAAACTGTACAAGTAAATGCATTCTACGAACTATTCCATATCAAAAACAAAGGTAATTCTAGCACGAGGTCTAATGGCATCATCCAGAGGAAATTTGCCAGATTAATGATCATTATACAAATAATATCTGGCCTGAGAAGTGGCTGAATGACTGGCCTAATACAAACAACACCATTATTGATACATGCGGATTC